GAGTGCGTGGAGGTGGCTGTGGAGGCAGAGGCAGCATGGGCGAAAGTGATAAATAAATAAATTTGGTGGCCCTCGGGACCAAGGATCACGGCACGACTCTGAGCAGGATAATTCCGACAACAGCACCATCTTCGTGCAAGACCTGGGTGAGAATGTTACAATTGAGTCTGTGGCTGATTACTTCAATCAGATTGGTATTAAGACAAATAAAACAGGACAGCCCATGATTAATTTGTACACAGACCGGGAAACTGGCAAACTGAAGGGAGAGGCAACAGTTTCATTTGATGACCCACCTTCTGCTAAAGCAGCTATTGACTGGTTTGATGGTATGTATGAGAAATCCTGGTGGAGGTGGGAGAAGGGCAGCTAGCCTTAGGAAACAGGCTGTATTTTGAGTGTTTGATTTTTTTTTTTTCCCAACACTTAATTTATCTGCAGTTTTGGTAGGCCTCTCCCCCCCCCCTTGTATCTCATTAGATTACAAGCCTTTTCAGGAAGGCAATCTTTAGGTCAGACCAGTATGTTTTTGAGTCACAAATCTCTTTATATTTATTTCTTTAGGTAAAGAATTTTCTGGGAATCCGATCAAGGTCTCATTTGCTACTCGCCGAGCAGATTTCAATCGGGGTGGTGGCAATGGTCGTGGAGGCCGAGGCCGAGGAGGTGAGGAGCTATTACCTGCTTGTGATATAAATAGGCAATAAGGAGAGTACAGAGGAGATGGTAAGGGCTTGGGTTACCAAACTTGGATGGGGAATAGATGGAACACCTGTTGTGTCTACACTAGGACCCATGGGCCGTGGAGGCTATGGTGGTGGTGGCAGTGGCGGCGGTGGCCGGGGAGGATTCCCCAGTGGAGGTGGTGGCGGTGGAGGACAGCAGCGAGCTGGGGACTGGAAATGTCCTAATCCGTAAGTGAATTTTTTTTTTTTCTTGTTAGTCTTAGGTTCGTGTCCTTTGATAGCATGGTAGAGTTAATTTGTAGGTGTTTTTCAAAGTAGGAAATGTCAAGTCTACACTGTTGGATAGATTTAGCTGAGAGCTTTTCTGTGTGAGATTGATACAGTAGGTAGACCATTGGACTGCGATCAGTTATCATTCTTTATTCCTGGCTTTGCCCCTGAAAAGCAGAAGTCTTTGCTTTTTTGAGGCCTCATTTTCCTCATTGTCTAACTCAGTGGAATCTGTCCTCAGTCTGTTCTCCTTGTCTATTCTCATACCTCCAAACTAATTTGTTATTTTTCTTCCTCAGTACATGTGAGAATATGAACTTCTCTTGGAGGAATGAATGCAACCAGTGTAAGGCCCCTAAGCCAGATGGCCCAGGAGGGGGACCAGGAGGCTCTCATATGGGTAAGAATGAGGCAGAGTTGCTAACATAAGTTAGAACCAAGGTTCATTTTTTTTTTTTTAAGAGATTTTTGCTATAGGGCACATAGGTTTGCTGAAGAGACAGAGAGATATCACCCCTTGGGGGGAAAGGTCATCCCACAATCCCTTCTCCATTATTCTTGGATTTTGGGCATGCATGAACATGTGCTTGCTGAGTTTCAAGCCAGGTCTGGGACTTGAACCACAGTTAGCCATGTGGGAGTCCAGTGCCTTAACCACTATACCTGGCCCCAAAAATGTTTTAAGCAGTGATGTTAGGGTATAAGGTAGGAGGATGGAGATGTCATAATTGTATCTCTTTTGTTGTAGGGGGTAACTACGGAGATGATCGTCGTGGTGGCAGAGGAGGATATGATCGGGGCGGCTACCGGGGTCGCGGCGGGGACCGTGGGGGCTTCCGAGGGGGCCGGGGTGGTGGGGACAGAGGTGGCTTTGGCCCCGGCAAGATGGACTCCAGGTGAGTTTAGACTCTAAATTGATATAAAAGTATAGCAATTAAACAGGTCATGGGGATAGCAGAGTTTTATTGAGGAAGTTTGATTTTTGAGGGCTAGATTGAAAAGAGCTAAGATTGTAGACACAATGGGTAGCAGAGGAGGGAGGAAAGGAAAGCTATCTTGGGGAAACTGAACTGTAGACACACCTTAGCTTAAAGAAATGAAACATTTGCTAGGTTGGCTAGGAGGGGCAGTTAGGATATGGGGGAGGTGTAGGTGTATGTATGTAAAGGTTGGTAACCCAATGTAATGGATATTCTTTTTTTTATTTTTGCAGGGGTGATCACAGACAGGATCGCCGGGAGAGGCCGTATTAGCCTGGCTCCTGAGGTTCTGGAACAGCTTTTCTTCCTGTACCCAGTGTTACCCTTGTTATTTTGTAACCTTCAACTCCTGATCACCCTCAGGGGTTTTTTTGTGTCGGACTACGTAATTGTAACCATGCCTCTGGATCCCATTAAAAACCATCATTTTAGTTAAAATTTTTCTTCTACTTCCCACTCTTCACTCTCCTGGAGGATTGATGTCCAGGTCAGGAATGTGGGGAGTTTCCCTCTTTTAGTTCATCCTGCCTAGCAGGAACTGAATAACATGTTTCTGCCCAGCAGGAACTGGAATAAAATGTTTGATACTTGATCGGGGAGAAAAGATCAAGTGGTATTCTTGAGAGTAGAGACTAAACTTTCCTTGTCTTGACAAAACTGGATGTAGGGATATGATAAACGAAGAACGTATGATGTCATGAGTATTGCCTGAAATTTGTCCAAGAATGTAGGAGTTTTGGGGTTTTTTTTTTGAGAGATTTTTGCTGTAGGGTGCTTGCGCTCGCCAGAAAGACAGACAAAGCGAGAAATCATCCCCCATGGGGGATGGCCACGTCGCAATTCCCTCTACTCCATTCTCCTCTCAGGATCTTGGGCATGTACGCACACATGCCCGCAGTGAATTTAAGCCACTGGGTCCAGGACTTGAACTGCGGTTGACTACGTGGGAGTCCAGTGACACAGCCATTACGTTAACTGCTGGTCCCAGAGTTTTTTGTTGTAATTGATTTGTCAGAATGCATCTGGACTCAGAGATTGAGAAAGGCACCCCTTACGGGGACTGGGACTGGTCATGTGGCAAGTCCTTCTCCATTTCTCCCTCCTGTTGAAATTTTGGGGCACACATGCACGCGTGCTTGGTGCTTTCAAGCGGCTGGGCCCAGGACTCAAACCATGCTTTTGGTCATGTGGGATCCAGCTCTTGTAACCCCACTCCATAAGCTGGCTGGGTGCTTTCTTTAAAAAAGAACTTAACTTGGATGCTGGTCTCTTAGCACTTTTATCCATTTTTAAAACTCTTGGCTCTTGATATTTTTCTAAGGGTGAGGCTCAAAGTAGGTATTTATTAGAGTATGGTATTTTTTGGAAAGAATTTTTTAATTTGACCAGAGACAGAAAGGAAAGAAAAAGCAAGCCACCAGGTCCATGATGTGAACTGTAGTTGGCCATGTGGGAGTCCAGCACCTTAACCACCATGATACCTGCTAGCCCTGTTAGCCTTTGTTAAAAGTTTTTGCTACATAGTGTTTCTAGAGAGATAAGGGATGGAGAGGAGTGAGAACTCAACCTCCTCGGGATTTGGGGCACATAATGTTTGCACACATGTACTGTGTGTTGCAAGTCATTGGGGTTGGAATTCAAACTACATCAGCCATGAGATCTGGTTCCCTTAACCATTAGGCTGTAGGGCAGGTTCTCTTAAATTTTTATTTTAAATTTATTATGAGTGAGAGATAAACATCAACATTATTTCATTCCACTAACCCTTCCCTCCCCCATGCCTTACTAGCCAGGGGGAGATCATGAACATGGGTTTGTGCCCAGCCTGAATAGGTCAACCTGGGAACTGAACCACACTCTTCCAAATGGCTAGTAGTTCATTCTGCTACCATGGTGGTAGTGTGGCTGGGCTTCCATTTTCATTTCTCTTAAGCATTTATCCGTCTGAAAGCTATTGTCCTGGACGCCTACTTAGTCTTTCAAGAGGATGCTAAGTTTGGGAGGAAAGGCTTGGGAATAAGTGGAGATGATAAGAGAGGTGGTTCCTTAGAAAGGAGTCTAGAGATAGTTGCTTTTATTTAAAGGTAGTCCGTGACCCACTTCTGTTTTTTTTGGGAAATGGAACTTGGGTAGTTAAAGTGTATAGGAACATGGTGGTCTATAATTTTTACATCTTGTCTACCTGGAGAGCTTGAGGTCATTGGTATTTTGAGATTTTATGCTTGAGCCTTTCTGACATGGACTGGAAAGCTTTTAATGGGAGTATTAAATAATACAGGGGAAGGGTAGGATCAGTGAAGTCAGACCAGCGCCCTTCAAACTACCTGATCTTCTAAGACTGACTGACTTTTCAGCTGCCAAATTGAGTTTATTAAACTTGCCTGCTAATTGATTATCAAGAATTTTAGAAAACGGGGACCAGCAGTTGGCGTAATGGCTGTGTCACTGGACTCCCATGTAGTCGACTATGGTGTGAGTCCCAGACCCGGTGGCTTAAACTCACACTGGGCGCGTGTGTGTGCATGCCCAAGATGCCGAGAGAAGGGGGGAGAAGGGATTGCACCGTGGCCATCCCTCCTGGGGGTGATTTCTCAATCTGTCTGACCTACGTGCGCATGCGCCCAGTGGCAAAAACCTCTCCAAAAAGAAGAATCTTACAAGACAAAAGTCAAGAAAAGACAGTTTTTGTCCTAGCAGGTCCCAACATAGTTTGTAAGACCAAGTGCCAAAGCGTGCCTGGCATCCCAATTGGGAAGTGTGTTCATCTCTTGAGAAACATCAAGGATGCCACCATGTGTTTTTTGGAGCAGAGTTTAATCATGAAGTTAAATTGAGGCAGGGACATTATGGCTTTGTTCAAAGGAATAACTACTTTACTCTCCCTGATGGAGTTGGGGAGCACTAAGGTTGAGTAGGGCCAGGCCTGTGTTCTCAGGCAGTGCTTTCCCTTGACTTAATTGAACTAGGTATTGGAAGAAGCCTTCAGATTTAGAGCCAAGGATATGGCAGTACTTTCCCTGGCTGTGCTTGTTTGTGTATCTGCTTTTACTGTAAATGGTGTTTGGTCTAAGTGTACTCATCTGATACGTGAGAAATTGTGCTTTGCCTAGGAGAGGTCTAAGATTAGGGTTTGGTTGTGGTTCTCTGTCCCTACTGTTAGGGACAGAGTTGTTAACCAACTCTTCAAAAATAATGAATGGGGTTTATTTCTGAGCATGAATATGTGTGACCTAGGCCTGAGAGGAGGCAAAACATGCCTTTCTCGGGGTGATCAGTTACAGGGGTTCATTTTTTTTGATTTTGAGAAAGAGACAATTTGGGATATAGTTTTTCCATTGGTCTTGCCCCAAAAGGTGGTATATGCGTGGAGACTTGTATATACGGGGATATGCTTGAAGGTTATAAGTGGGTTTTACAGTTTTTAACTTGGTGATTTGGAAAAGGAAGGTTGCCCAGATCAGAAAAGAATGTGCTATTAACAGAGATAAGAGGGCTTAATACATATCACAATGATAGTGTGCCAGGGGTAGTATTTGGGAGAGTCCTGTTATCTGTGGGTCAGAATGGTCTATTAATGTTTGTGGGCGTGACTCCCTGAAGGCCTCTCTGGAAAGGAGGATTTTGGAAATGGGAAAAAACAGTCAGACTTCTGTCCTCAGAGCGAAGGTGGTTAAAACTCCTTGTCAGACCGGGTAGCTAAAACTGTTAGTGATAAGTTTATTAATATTTTATTGCAAAGGGGCTTATGTGATTTCCAGTGATGGGGAGAGAGAGGAAGTCTCCCAGTGGATAACGGTCACTCTTTATTCATCATTTGGGATTTTGAGCACACATGCCTATACTCCTGGTTTATTTCTGAAAGCCACACCGAGTCTGGGACTCCAGTCGCTTGGCTGGCCAAGTGTATTTAGCTGCCTTAACCACTTTAAACGCTCTTAATGTCCTTTAGTTTGCCTTTTTAAAAAAAATTTTCTTTTTTCTTTTCCATAGGGTGTGAGTGCTCGCCAGAGAAAAAGTGAGAACTCACACCCCCCCCACCCCCTCCTGTCCCCGAGAGGATGGACACACTGCACCTTCTTGTCGGATTTTGGGCACACAGTTGCATGCTCAAGGTGATTTTCAAACCTCCAGTTCTGGAACTCGACCTGTGAAGTTGGCCATGTGGGATCCAGCCATACATGCCATCTGCTATCCCCTTAATGTCCTTTCAGAGGTTTTTTTTTTTTTTTCCCCAAGAATTATTTTATTTAACTACATTTATTCATTTACTTATTTTTATTTGATCACAGAGGGACAGAGCAAGAGAGAGAGTGAGAAAGCAAGCTACCAGGTCCAGGATTTGAACCACAGTTGGCAATGTGGGAGTTTAGCACCTCCAGCCACCACACCACCTGTTGGCCCCTTACGGAGCTTTTCTGGTTGGCCTTGCATCTAAAGGAAATAGGGTCTCTCCCACGGGACTGGTTACAGATCCATTTGTATGTGGGAGGGCTTTTCCAGGTGCATAGAAGACAATTAGCAGTGGAGAGAGTGAAACTGGTTATGGTGTCAGGTTATGGAAAATGTGGTACTCATGGAGTTTGGGCTTTCAGCCCTCTGCCCTTTGTTGGATTCCCTAATAGAGCCAGATTAGTATCAGCCAGTAATGTCTTCCTAATTGGTACAGATCTTAGATTAGTCCTTTGTTTTCCAAAGGATATATTTTTTTAATTTGCCAGGGAGAGAGGAGAGAAAGCACCTTCCCAATGGGGTGTGGTCACCCCACAGTCCTTTCTTTTTTCTCCATCTTGTCGAGAGTTTTGGCACATGGGCACAGTGTGTTCTTCGAGCCTCTGAAGCCTGGATTTGAACATGTTGAGATTTAGCTCCCTTGGCCATATGGCCGGCCCCCAAAAATATGTTCTTAACTGAATATTTCATGGGAGAGGGAGAGAAGAGAGGTACCCTCCTCTTAAGTTTGTTTCATGAGAGGGAGGTAGTAACAATGGGATCTAGCCATGGTTTTCTTCTTTGAGCCCTCTAGACAACTAGGATCTTAGGTATGCCTAGGTTGAACTGGGATCCAAACCCTAGGCCTTCTCTCATGGCTGCAGTATTGCCACCACCCCACTGTCTATACCACTGGCGTGGCCTTTTAGTGAATTACTGAACACTAGCCTGCAATCTTGAAGCACTAGGTACTCAGCTTTTGTTAGTCAAAAGTGGATTACATATGGAGTGTGTGTTGTGGGTCTTTTTCCTATCTTGAGTTGTCTCAGGTTGTATTTTCCCCATAACACGCTGGGCCTTTCTTGGATTTTAGTAACATAGATAGAGGACTGGCGTTAGATCAATCTGGGTTCATTGACAAGGACTCAGGTCCAACTTAAATGAAAGTTTATGCCTTGATTCTTTTAGACGTGTTTTTTCTCTTATAATTATTTTCTTTTTTTTTTAATTATTTTTATTTATTCATTCATTTAATTTGATCAGAGACAGACAGAGAGAGAGAAAGCAAGCCACCAGGTCCAAGATTTGAACCGTGGTCAGCCATGTGGAAGTGTCTAACGCCTTAACCGCCACACCACCTGCTGGTTCCCATAATTTTTATTT